GTGTGTGTGTGTGTGTGTGTGTGTGTGTGTGTGTGTGTGTGTGTGTGTGTGTGGTTGCGAACGTACATGCTTCATCTGGCTGACTTCAAGGGCTTCGAGTCTGAGCCACTAATACTTTTTCTGTTTGCCCACCTTTCATTTCAGCAGCTGCTTTTTCTTGTCTCCTCTGCTTGTAGTTTTGTTTCACGGCCCATTCCTCGCTCAGAAACTATCTCCCCCAGCTCTCATCCCTCCCGTCTCCGCCTCTCATTCTCCCCCTATGATGTTTGCAACATCTCTGCTCGGAACCTCGTGCTTCTGTCAGCTGTCTCTCGCTGTATTTTTAAGATAGCTGATGGGCTGAAGCTGTTTTTGCCTTTTTCACCACAGTGTTTCTCCCGCTTCCACTCTCCTCCTTTCTCCCCAGCCCTGTCAGTCGTCTCAGAGTTTCGCTCTGGATGCTGTTGACAGTCTAGTCCGCTGTGGCATCCTAGTCATGGAAGAAGTAAGAAACATTAAAGATTTCTTAAAGTTGTGCTTTTACAGCCTGTATTTTAAAAACAGCACTGTTTTTGAGACCATTTTTATTTATAAAGTTGACGCCTTCTGTCTGCAAATACATCTTTAATGTTGCCTCAAGCTTTTCATTTACCGCCTTGTTTTTATGTGTTTTTCTGTTATACTGTATGTTATAGAATTAAAAGTAGGATGCTTTGAATTGTAGCCTCTATATACAGGTTATTGCCAATGCTTAACATTAACACTTACACACTCAGGGAAACAGAACTTTTATTGAACTAAAACTTTTAAATGGTTTTGTACAGGGTAATTATTTTGAGAAATAAATTCTTAATGAGGCAAACAATTAAACTAATTAACAATCCTGTACAGTACATCGGTCTCTTTAAATTATTTCTTTAGATCACCCAGCTTATGAAATTTCCAAGCTCTAACTGTGTTTTATCTTGTGTAGGTTTCCAGAGACGTTCCCATTTGTGATTTCATGAAGAGGGAGGGTACTCTGGTCTGGACGACCACTGACGACCCTTATCACAGTGACTCCGACTGCGAGGAGCCGGAGTCGCGCTCATATAAGGTACCAAAGAGCTTTGTGGAGCCCCTTCGGCTTTTTGACACGCTTCATGGAAGCATGGCGTTTTAAAACGGGACAAATGATTCATGCAGATCTGGATTTTTCTCTCTGGGTGACTGCAGTACCTACAGGGCACACACAAAAACACGAGAAACTACAGAAAAAGAACTTTGAAGTAACTAAATCTCCATTACAAAAGCTTGAACACGGATGAATCACGTAACTTGAATGTGAATTAGCAGTATGTGTCATCTTTAAAAGAAGCCTAACTAATGCTAACGTTACATGGTTTTTTTTTTTTTTGTTTTTTGTTTTTGTTTTTTTTTTTCAAAGCAACATGAGGCAGCTGACGCACTTCCAAAGGGGCCAAACAGCCTTCTCCAAAAAGCTGGAGCAAATGTTTTAAACATGACAAAATGACTTCAGGATGACTGTCAAAAAAATCATGAACACATCCGTGAAAGCAAATTTTAAAAGGGAAGATGATAAAAAAAAAAAGAGTAGTAATTTCTTCTGCACACCACTCTTGGCATTTATCACACTTGTGCTCTTACAGGTGCAGTTTCTGTAGTCAGTAGCCATGTAATGCAAAATTTTATCAAACTTTTAAAATGTTGCAAAAAAGAAAAAAAGTGGATTAGATGTGTTCCCATCTACTGGTTTGGAACGAATCAATGATGCTATGCAAAGTGTCATTTTATCAGACATTGACGTTACGCATGGCTGTGATAAACAGGAAGCAGAGGTTGCAAACGAGCAGGGACCACACGTTTCAGGACAACGAAGAGATGTTTTCAAGAATGTGTTGCTATCAGGCAAGTTGTAATTATTCACTCATCAACTAGTTTTGGTTGCATGCTGTCTGGAGACGTAGACAAAGAAATGCAATCTCCGGGAAGATGCTGATAGAGGAAACAGCTGATTTTTTCAGAAAATGTGTTACCATCTCCACTTTTTGTGCATTAACTCTTACGGAAATTCCAAAAACCACTTCAAGCGATCGTAAATCTATTTTACAAAATATAGGCAGGTTTTTCAAATTGTGATGTTTCCATTAACCATTTTTAATTGATACTTCAAAATGCGATTTTAATAAAACATTGATGGGAACATGGATAATTTGAAGAATTGTTCTCATCAAATAGTTTAGCTTTTGGTCAGAAAGGTCCCAGACTAAAATGGTGTGGATGGATCTAAGCCATTGCCCTGATAAAGGCTGCAGGAGTGCTCTAAAGGACCTTTTGTCATTCTTTTACCATCTTCATTAGCATATGGAACTGAGGAATATGTATATAAAAATTATTAGGTCTCATAATTCGTTGCAGTCCCATCTTTCAAAGCAACACTTGCACCGTTTTACAAAGTATTTAATTAAATATGGGGTCAGGACTGTGAGTGTTGGTAGTAAAAGCCTTCACTGTGTTAAAGGACCGACCCATACAATGAAATATTTTATTATTATGTGCCACTAATATCAGTCTCCATGATGCATTAAGGTCCATAAAGTAAATGTAGAATTTTACATTACAGCTTGTGTGGTTGAACTCTCATTTCACTGCTATTGTCTTTTAAAGTCCTTATCAGTTTGTCCAACCATCATTTTTGGGTTTTTGTTTTCAAATAAGAATGAAGGAAAAGACAGTTTGAAATAAATATTTTCGACTTGACCAGAACTTTTTGCACTTCCTCTGAGAAAATCAGAGGGGTATTGAATTTTGAATGTTTGTTTTGTTGAACAAAATGTACAGCAGTTTGTGTGTAATTTTTATTTTTTTAGAAGGGCTGATGCCATTAAACATTTAGTAACACAAGGTGGTAGCTGCCCTCATTTCATCATCGTTACTGTGCTGCAGAAATGTGCCACCCATCACTTTTCTGTCACTACTGTATAATATACAGATAGGATTGAATTGTGTAGTTATTCATATGATTTTTAATAAATATTGTACTTCCAAAGCCCTGTGAAGGACAGGTTCTGAACTCAGATATGTTGCAAGCTTCACGCGGACCAGAACCACACTCTCAAACAAAAACCTTTATTTCTACAATAGATGATTAAAACTGCGAGGGGAGTGTTGAACTTGACACTCAGATGAAAAAGAGATGTCATTTACTCACAAGCATATTGCAGGCTTTCAAACAAAATGGCAATGATGTAGCATTTTGGCTGCAGGTTTTTGTTCCTATTAGATCATTTTAGGATATGGACTGGTAAATGGGTTGCAGTTACGCTGGGCTTTTATCCAAAGCGCTTTACAATTTGCCTCCCACTCACCTATTCACACACACACAAACACACATTTCTATGGACATTGCAATTGTTCAAACATTATGGTGGCTATTTTCAGTACTTGACTAAACCTAAGCTTGAGTTTTACAAAAAGGTAGGGCAGTCTCAATACCAATTTTTGAGTAGTAAGAGTACTTCAGTTTGGGTACTCTACTGGCCGAGTACTCAATGAGTTAGAACTTAAACATTACACAATGATTATAAAAACGTATTTCTTTTTATTTAGAACCTGGTGCCAAATCGGATGCTTATCTGATGTTTTTCAAAACAACCTCAGTCTGAACGCTCATGTCGCATTTCATCCAACTTTTACATCAGTGAGGTGAGGGTATACGGGTCGATCCAAGTAATAATGATCCTAACCTCGGGTCATGCTGTTAGTAATTCTGCACGTCTTCAGCTACAGAACAGAAGTCCAGTTGCTTCTTTTTTGTTTTAATTTTCCATGTCCTGGATGACTGAGACTCCACAGAAATATGATAGTAATGTTGGTGTTGGACTGTCTACACCAGTAGTTCTCAACCCTGGTCCTCAAGTACCCTATCCATCATGTTTTTCTTGTTTCCCTGCTATTCAGCAGGTCTTCAGAAGATTGTTAATGACTCATTCATTCAAGCCAGGTGTGTCAAATCAAGGAAACATCTAAACATGCAGGAAAGGAGTCCTTGAGGACCAGGGTTGGGAATCACTGCTTTAATACATGTTATCTGATTTATTATTTACAAATAAATGGCAAAGAGTCAATGACTTCCAGAGGCAATACTAAAAAACATAAAACTGAGTCAATATTATGTTTTGAAAATGTCTCATCAAGCTCAGAGAAGCTCTTGAAGTGTTGGTCAACATTTAAAGCAGTGATGTTTAGATGTTTCCCTGATTTGACATACCTGGTTTGAAGGAATGAGTCATTAACAATCTTCTGAAGACCTGCTGAACAGCAGTGAAACAAGTAAAACATGCTGGATAGGGGTCCTTGAGGACCAGGGTTGGGAACCACTGGATCGATACTTAAATTAGTTTTATTTAAAGCACATCGCATCCGTTACACATTGCACCAGAGCAGCTGTTCAGAGGCAGGTTCAAATGTAAACAATGTCAGATAAATATTTAATTGACATTGATCGCACAACAACTTCAGAATCAACACGCTAACATGTAGCATTTGGGGGTAGTGAACTGTAAACAACGAGCTGAATGTGACGTCACGTCATCCATTGCGCATGCGGGTTGCATCAATGGCATAAATATTTCTAATGAAGGTGGCATTTTAAAATATAATGTGAACATCCACGCCAAAGAAAATTGTTATCTGGGCATTTGAACAAGTATGAGTACTTTTAAAAATTTTGGCATCAAGCTCGATACTGGTATGGGTATCACCATACCACCACAACTAAAGATGAAATCTTTGCCCTAAAGTACCATGTTTCTTTTGTCCCGTCTGTGTAAACTCTCCGCACATGATCATTCACAGCCAGCTATGGAGGCTTAAAGATTCAGAGTTTTACTCACAGAGCTTTTATTTTTTATTCACAAACAGGTTTTTTTTTCCCCCAGAGGCACTCACATGATTTTGTTTGTGTATTAAGTTATTTATTTATTTATGCCATGCCCGAGTTATGCACACAGAGAGAAATGTAAATAAACAAATAAATATTCCCTCTGGTTCAGAAAAAGAAAACGATCTGTATTCAGTAGGACTTTTGGCAAAAATAAATCGCTAACTCTAATGGCTAAATTGTGTAATTTATTTATATTCTTGTGTTGCTGTGCCTTGTTAATTTTATGTGTTTGAACTGTAAACCTCCCTCTGGTGACTTAATTTTGACCTGTAGTGGAAGTTGCTGCTTGGATCTGGGTTGTTGTGTGTGTGTGTGTGTGTGTGTGTGTGTGTGTGGT